GGGGGGGGGGGGGGGGTGAAAGGGGCATTTCACGACGCATTGATTTCCTTGTCAGTGCCAATAGACCACTGCCGGGAGAGGCGAGAGGCGATTTTTATCGACCCACTGGTGTTCCGAGTCGAGTGTTCCTGCGAGGTTATGATAAATTTTTTCCTCGCGCCTGGCCATGTTGGATCCTTCCAGGTGTACATGAACGAGTACGAGGACCTGCTAGATAGACCCGACGTGACCGTCGTGTCGGATTCAAGTGTTCTGTGTGAGCTGGGGACGAGCTGCGCGGACTCGAGCGCGTGTCCATCTGGTTACTCCGAGCTAGTGGTGAGCCCCTTGCACTGACCGCTGGGGCTGGGAAAAACGAACTTTTTGATCGGATTACGAGTATATTCTAGTTTAAGAACATCGGCTGTGTGCAATTGTGTCCGGTTCCTGGGTATTTGTGATTAGTTCATGCAACCAAGGTACCTCGCAGGTAGACAGAATGACGTAATTGGTTCCGCTTCACTTGTAGCGCTGCTCGGCGAATAAGGCTGGCAAGATGAACACAGCACTCAAAGGAGCTGGTATAGTTTCATGTTCTTTTTCATGACTTGTTCAAGTTGTCACAGGAACCAATCTTACCAATGGGGATGACTTTAGCAGTAGATGCGTATCACGCCACCAAAACTCTCGGCAAAATCTTGTGGATTAACGAACACACACCGGTGAACTATCTACTCGCGCCTGTTGTCAGATAACCACGACAGATGAGTACGGAGACGGCTGGGTCGGTGGCCTACCGGACCGCAGCAACACCTGGACGTTAACGGATGCATCATCATCCTCAGTCGTTGCTGAGGGAACCTTGCACGACTGGCACTTCTCCGGCATGACCAAGCTTTGCCTCCAGGACGGCGACTACTCCTTCGAGACTACTGCGGACGCTGCTTGGAGCTCGGAGTCTGCTTGGAATGTGTGCGAGGTGGACGGCGGGATGGGAGGCAGCTTGGATTTTGAGGTGAGATGGATGCGTGATGATTCAGGGGATGGGTACTCCCGCGTAAGGCAACACCAACGCATGCCGTAGTCAATAGACGGGGGCGGGGGGCGGGGTCTGGTATCGTTGAGAGATGGCTTGAGGTCTCTGCCGAGAGGGAGAGTTGGTGCTGCGGGTGTAGCGTGTCTTGTCGAGCGGCTGTGATTCTAAGGTCTGGCGAGGTCGATGCGAGTATGCGAAGAGGAAGCCATCAATAGATTGGTGTTCTTTTCTCTCGGCTATGGATAGATTGATGTTATTTACTCTCGGCTATGAATACATTGATGTTCTTTTCTCTCGGCTATGAATACATTGAGGTTATTTACTCCCGGCTATGAATAGATTGGTGTTCTTTTCTCTCGGCTAGGAGTAGATTGATGTTCTTTTCTGGGCACCGTTTCCTCGCCGTGCAACGGCGTACCGTGTTCACAATGCGACCTTATTTGTCGCCTTTCTACGCGGAGTGAGGCGGTTGTGATATGGTAGGTCGCAAGGCCTTTCCATCGTGCGCATACATGCGCCATGCGGCTGTGATGATTCCCGTGTCGTATGCGATCTTGCTTGGTTGCTCGCGACGACGACGTGAAGAGCGCATCACCACAACCTTAGGCCAGTTTTGGTCCTGATTGTTGCCAGGGCGCACGTTTTACCGCCCTGCCTCCAAAGTGATGTGTGGGCCAGCATACTCAAAATAGTCTCCAGCTACATACCAACTCACAGGAAACTAGCAACGAGTACAACCCCACCCGGCATGATATCGATAGGGTAGATAGGGTAGGGGAAACCGTTGTTGAGTCAACTCTGGGGAAGTAGGAAGGGGCGACTGGCCATCGGCGATCGGGCTTGTGATAACAATGCTCCGTCCTCTCGAGGACAAATGGTGTAACGACTTGCGGCATGCATTTACACGCACGCACACACCCCTCCCATCCCGTCAGATGAGCAACTCGGCATGCAATGTCTTGGACTCCTCTTCGAAAGACGGGCCACCCGCCACTGTCGCCGAGACCAGCTTGGGCGACTTTTGCGCCCTGCCAGCGGATGATCCGTGCGTGGACCTCGACGTTGGGGTGGCGGAAGTTAGGGGCCCCAGCGTGGGCATGTACTACGACGAGTCTTGCCTGGAGGGGGGCGGGGGGGATACGGGCTGCGGCGGGGGAGGGGTGACCGTGTGCCGGATTTGTTTCGTCAACCGCGAGTTCTGGTTGGCCGATTTTCCCGACGAGCGCTACCCGGATTGGTGAGAGGTCTTGTTAAGAAAAAATACGTGCAAACAAGGAGAGACTATATTAGCTGCTGTGTGTCCCGTTGAGGGATGTAACCACAGCAAACGAAAGAAATGGGTTGAAGTATTAATGGTGGGGAAAACCTTCTTGTTGTTCTCGTCGAGCTCTGGTGTTCGGCTATTCTGGTGGCTGAGTGAGAGAAATCTAGGTTGAGTAAGGCACCACACAGCCTCGAACGATTGTTAAGGCTCGATTACGACGAAGAGGATGCCGCAGTAGGACGACACGTTTTGGGAAAAATCTCCAACGCAGCCATTTTCGGCACCGCCACCGTGTCAGACCAGAAATTGAGCTTCCGTCTGAATGGGGGGCCTTGACCAATCGAACGCAGGCACAAGCGACAGGAACCCCCCCCCGCCCATACCAATCGCTAATCTGCGTCCCCCCACCCCCACTCCCCCCCCCGGTATTTACCATCGGGGTTGGGTTTTCGTCGCTTGGCAACGACGTTGTAAAACAAGCCGCCCCTCCCGGTGTTTGCCATCGGGATTGGGTTTTCGTCGATTGGCAACGACGTTGTAAAACAAGCCGCCGCCCCCCGGTGTTTGCCATCGGGATTGGGTTTCGTCGCTTGGCAACGACGTTGTAAAACAAGCCAATTCACTTCGTGAACTCGGCAACCAGGTTACCGTTTTTTTTTT